TTTGAATTTGAATTGTGAACATAATTTAAATTTATCCTTTTGAACTTATTTGATAAGTTGTTCAATTTAGAATTCAAATTAATTTAAGTTTGACTTAAATTCGAATTTGAATTTGAATTAAAATTAGACTACTAGATAAAGGATAAAATCTCTTCCTTCCCTATCTGAAGTTGGCGCCACACACAGGGTGAAACCCTACTGTTTGGCCGGCCACTTAAAGGATAAAGGGAAGGGATTTTTTGTTCAAAATTCAAAAATTGGAGATAGGGATTTGATTCTGTTTTGAAGTTTAACTTCTACTCTTTAAATATGAGAATGATAGAAAATTGTGGACACAATTTTTTGAAAACAATTTTCAGCCCTAAAAGTTAGTGGTGGCCGAATTTCTCAATAGCAAAAGAGAGAGAAAATATTTTTCTCCAAAAATTCCACATCGTGCATGCGTTGGTGTTTGTGAAAATTCGAGTGTTTAAGAAACCTGTTTTATCTCACGTGTGCCCACACACACGTCTATGTGGAATCAAGGACTTGACGTGGAAGACTTTGGTATTCTAAACACAAACTTGGAGTAAGGACTGTTCGTGGTCAAAGAATTCAAATTATCAACCGAGTCGGCTTCCAGGTATTTTTTCGGATTGAGTTCTTGATGTAAATTAATGCGATTAATTTATTCGTGCATAAATTAATATAATCTATAGAGTATCTCAAAAGTTTTATGAAAATTTTTGTTATACACGATCCGCCTCCCCGCCACGCTTCCGCACCCGAATTCGATTCGGGAACCAACATTATTAACTTTATGCCCTTATAATTGTTACAATTCAGCACATCTCCTTTATTCTTAAAGATGGGGACAATAATACTTTGCCTCCACCCATCAGGCATATGCTTCTTCTTTAGTATCTCATTAAAAACCTCTATTGGAATATCATCTGGCCCACATGCCTTCCCCTTTTTCGTTTTCCGTAGTGTAGTTTTAACTTCCGAGACTCTGATTCTTCTTGTATACATCACATTAGGTTCTCCATGTGACCTAAGATCGTCAAACTCTATCGCATGATCATCATTATAAAGCTTCTTAAAGTAACTCATCCACCTTTCCCTAATGTCTTCATCTTTTATCAGAACATGATCTGTATGATCCTTAACACACCTCACTTGATTTAGGTCCCAACACTTCCTTTCTCTTATCCTAGCTAGTTTATATTTATATCCTTCTCTCCTTCTCTAGCCCCAAGTTTTCTATATACCTCATCTAAGTAAGTAGAACGAGGCTTACCAACTGCTCGCTTATCTTCTTTTTTTGTTTCTTTGTACTTATTAAAAGTTTCAACATCCTTACGCTTTGATAAATCTTTATATAAATCTCTCTTGGTCCTAATAGCCTTTTAAACTTCCTCACTCCACCACCAGGTTTTTTCCCTAGGGAGCCTTTACCTTTAGATTCTCCTAGTATCTCCTTTCCCACTTTTCTAATGCAGCTGGCCATGACATCCCACATAGTATTTGCATCACCTATATATGACCAAGTAGCCTCCAATTGCTTTATTCCTTTCAAATACCACCAACAAGTTCGTGGGAGGTGGTTTATCTTAGTCATTCTATAGCAAAGCTTAATGCTCACATCTAAGATCACTAACCTATGTTGGGTGGTTAGTATTTCTCTAGGAATTACTTTACAATCCTTACATAGAGAAAGTTCTCTATACCTTATGAGAAAATAATCTATTTGGTTCAAGTTCCTCCCATTTTAAAAGTGATCAAGTGAGAATCTCTTTTCTTAAAATATGTGTTTGTTATGATAAAATTATGTCCCAACGCAAATTCCAAAATAGATTTTCCTTCTTTGTTTTGAGCTCCAAAACCAAAACCACTGTGGATCCTTTCAAAGTTTTTCCTATCCTTACCAACATAGCCATTGAAATCTCCTCCAATGAAAATACTATCATCATTGCCTATACGACACACTAAGTCATCCATGTCTTCCCAGAACTTGACTTTAGTTTCTGCATCCAATCTTATTTGTGGAGCGTAAGCACTAATTACATAGATAAACTTATTTCCTAGTACCAATTTAAGCATAATAATTCTATCCCCTATTCGCTTAATCTCAACTACGCCACCCTTCACAGTTTTGTCCACTAGAATACCAACTCCATTACGATTCTTTTCCCAACCTGTATACCATAACTTGTGTCCTAAATTTTCAATCTCCTTAAAAAAAAAAAAAAAACAAAACAAAACAAAAGCAAAAATAAATATGAAGGAAAAAAAAAGTGAGAAGCAGAAAAATGGAGTTTGGGACCTTTAAGTCTTGAATGTAGACATTCCAATAAAAACATATCATGATTTGACTTGAATATTGTACGTGTATAGACATGGATCATGGAGAACAAAAATTAAAAACATATTTCATTAGACAAATCAGTTATAAACTTAGTTATACGATAATAGAAAAAAAAAAATTAGAGTAAAATATTAGAGGGGAAAGTAAACAAAAGAAAAAAGAAAAAAAAAGTGTGAGAAGAAACGAAAATAAAGGACCAAACGGTGCAAATAAGAAAATGAATGAGGACTAATTAAAGAAGACAAAAATAAAACAAAAACAAAAAAGAAAAAAAAGGAAGTGACATGTGGCACTAAGTAAAGGAGGATCCAATTCGAAACTTGTATTGTATCTCATAATATTATAGATAAGTAAAACATGTATGAAAAAGGGGGGAAAAAAGGGAATTTAATGAAGTGGAATTTAAAATATATATTAGATATTGCAAGGGAAAATAACAAAAACAAAAGTAGAAAAGTGAGGAAAAAAATAAAAATAAAAGAACAAATGATGGAAGTTCATCTCATAGCTTGCCAACTCTACACAACAGGAAAATATTCAAAGGTTCTTCGAGCAAATTTCCTTGAAGTTGTTCTCGTATAAAAGAATGCTATTCTCAAGTCGAGGTATTTTTTTGCCCTTTTTGTATTGGAAGTTCAATGTTTGGGAATATTATAGGGCCACTTTAGTTCATGAGTATAAATAAGTGGTTTTAATTCTGCTTTCAAATTTTGTGAAAAAATCTATTAAAAAGAACTTTTTAAATTTAAATTTTTTTATAAGATGAAACATTCTAACAGAATCAAAACTAAGGAGCGTTTAGTATGCAGTAATCTTAATAATGAGAATAGAAATCTGTAATATTATCATATTTGATACAAGAATTATAATATTTAGATTCTCAAAAAAATAATTACTATGGGATTCACTTTTTCTCATTTTAAAATAATCTGAATACCACCCAACATGGCCATAACTTGCAATTGATTGTGCCGCAGCTTATAATAAGTGTTTGGACTTATTTACGCGCAATTGTGGCCATGACTTGCAATTGATTGTGCGGCAGCTTATAATAAGAAATTGAGAAACGGCTCGTGTTTTTCTTTTTCATCAAAATTGAGAAGACTTCTCTCAACAGCCCTATAGTCTTGATCTCTGAACAGTACAAAAGTTTAATTTTAGTATTAGTTTCAGTGCCGTCCTGCATCTCTCGAGTCTCGTTTCTTATTAATATTCGCCTAAAAAAATAATAATAATGATACCAAGTAAAATAAGTTCCTTTATGAGAGAAAGCTGAAAGGACCACATGGGAAAAGGGCATGCTAACATATCCAAATGCTGCTGAAAGATTCTTCGAGCGCCCTCTTCCTGCTGACTGCTGAACTCTATGCTCCACCCTCCGGCTCTTCGACCTCTCTCTGCTTGCAGCTTCTTCATTTCCTCGTCATCAGCAGCATATCCGTGTATATCGGGGCCCACTCCAAGTGGGACAGGCTGTGGGGCCATGCCAGTTGGCCGTGGTTGCCCCCCTGGAACTGTTGGAGCATATTGGCCTTGTCCACTGACTCCTGCTTGAGAGCTTTGGCTTGCGGCCTATTTTAATACACATTAAAACCTTTTCAGGTCCTCATCATAGAGTACAATTCATTACTATTTTCCAAAGACAAGCAAAATAGCTTCTCTCTTAACTGGAGATATTTCTACTATCTACAACCAAAGAGAGTATACTTGTTTCCCTTTACCACTTGAGGCGAGTCCTAGATGTCAAAGAAAATGCCGATTCTTCTCTCAAAAGAAGTTACGAAAAGATAACATGATATGAAATCACAGAAATATACATTAACATGGTATAGTGTGGTATATTTTTAGTCCTTTCCTATGTAGTTTAAACCTGTATCTTAATTGCATATCTCTTATCAATTTTTATTTCTAACAGAAACTATTAGACCTGACCTGGATGCAGAAACCCATAAAACAATTCCTCACTAAACTATAATCAGTCTTTCTAAGCTTAAATACAAATGAAACATGGTTACCAACTCGAAACAAATATCATAAACCAATTATTCCATTCTTACCCCATCATTATCAGTTTGTGATGGATTTCCCTTGCTTGCTGCCATAGCTGCAGCTAATTCTTCAGCCTGTATGATAATCATCAACAAAAACAATAATCTTAACTTATCAGTCATTCCTATGTAGTTAAGAAACTCGCTTTACCTTTTTGCAGTCAAGATAGATAGAGTCACATACATAAACTAAGAATGCAACCTCTATAATCTGGGGAGAAATTGACAGATTTCAAAAGGAACAGTTTCTCAAGTACCTTGCGAGCTCGATTAATCATTATCTGCTCAGCATTTTCTTCCTGGTACTGTGCAATTTTGGCTTCAATAGCAGGGACATTTATACCTTCAATCAAATCAAATGCTGCAACAGAATCATTTTCCTTTGTCATCAAAAGAAAGGAAGAAATCAAAGCCAGAACAGAATAAAAAATCTACAAAACTTACTCATGTCCTCCACTTCCTCCAAGAAGTCATTGTACTCTTTCAGAGATGGAAAATCATCTTCTCGTTTATTGAATCTGGAAATGATGAATCACCATCGTTACGATTTACAGCATCAACATTGCATCTTCTAGTGACTAAGAGAAAGTCAATAAATAATTACTATATGATATGACTATTTTATCCCTTCAAAAATTGGTTTCAAAAGAACTGTTTTTTTCTGAACATTCATTCATTTAAACTAGTGACGTATGTAGTTTGATGTGCAAGACCTTTGTTAAGCCATGGAGCATTCTGCAGAGACCATGGGCGCATTTGGAACTCGTTCTAAAATAATTTTGTTTTTTGTATGAAAATGAAAATGAAAACGTTTTTAATCTCAGACAGAAATCATTTTTGAAAATGCGTTTGGTAGTTTTATCAAGAGATTGTTTTCATTGTAAAAAAATTCATTAATGTCTCTCTTTCTCTCTCTCTGGTTGAGAGAAGAGAAAACGAAAACAAAAAATGAAAAACGATTAAAAGTCGTTTTTCATTTCTCTCTCATTTTACTAAACCAAAAAATCGTTTTCATTCCGTTTTTTGTCTTTATTGCGTCAAACGCCGTTTTGAAAAAGTTTTCATTTTTTCTTTCTCGAAAAACGTGAAAAATAAAAACGGGATCAATTCCAAACACGGCCATGATATCACTCTCATGTAAGTAACCTTTTTTTTGTAAGAGTGTATTTCATAGAACAAAAGATAAGAAATCAAAACGCATTGAGTATAGCTTGGTTTCAGCTCCAATTATCAAACGATAAAGATCATTCTGGGCCTTCTGGCAAGGAAAATCATGTAATTTGCAAATTCCCAATCCCAATAAGTAATCAAATAAGCATCCTTTTTCTTACTCACAATTGTCCAGAAAATAAAAATAAAAAAGACATCTATCAAGTGTTTGAAGAGAGAGAGAGAGAGAGAGAGTTACATGCTGGCAATCCTCTTCCTGATGGCCATCTCCCTATTTTGAGGATTAGAACTGGAGACCACCATTTTTATCACTCAGCCTCTTTTTCTCCTCTCCTACACGTTTCAAGTATTCATAATTAACACCTATTGCCTAATATGAGTATGGTAATGGAAAAGAAGAACAATGCATAAATAATAATAACAATAATAATAAGAATAACAAGAACAAGAACAAAAATAATAAATAATAAATAATAAAATCTCATAAAATCCTTACCAATAAAGTAATCTTTTCAAAATGAATCTTCAATATCGGGCCGTCAAATTCCAAGTGTTGAAGCTGAGAGATCTACATGGATAAACACCAAATCAATCGATTTACAGAATCAACAGATTGGACCATACCACATAATTATCTTGCGCAACTCAGAATTTTTGTTACAGTCACATATAGTTCTACTTCATAGACATAAATATGAGCATCAACATGTCCCTAAGAAAATAAGAGCTCACCAACAGAAACTAAGAAAATCTTGTTTCAAATACAACACTGTGTGAGGAACTATTGTTTACAATACAATACAAATTTTCAGTTTCTCTTAGAGTTAATGAACAGACCCATAAGACCTGAGAATTGAGGAGGCCAAAGGCTTACACTTTTAGCGTAAATTCGTTAACATAATGACTGATAGAAATCATCCAGAGCTTAGAAATCAAGCATTATTATTAGCACTAATTGAGTAAATCCTAGTACCCTAAAAAAACCAATTCATTCATTCCTCTGTGAAGGAGAGCAACCACATTGAGTACTGCCGGCGGAGCAGCCTTAGGCCCGAGAAGCCCGCCCCCCGGCCTGGCACAAGGGTTCCGTTTAAAATTTTGGCCCTGTCACATCTACATAATCTTTTTTAAAAAAGAATCAATTATAAGTGTATCCTTATTTCAACCTTAAAACTCAAGTAAACCAAAAATCAACTATACTACAATGTAAGTTCACAAGTTTTTAGACTCGTTTTTAATCCCTAATTTTAAGCTCATCTTTTGTTTTACCAAAACTTATGCTCATTTCATTTATAAAATAAAATAAAATAAAAAATTTTCTCCTTGCAGACAAATTCTCGAACAGGTAACGGGCAATACCAAAAGCCCGCCACAGAAAAACTCATCAAACCAATAAACACAGCCGAGGCAATTGCCTAAGGCCCCTTATTATTAGGAAAGTTTTAACTAATTATCCATAAAAGTCATGAAATATTGAAATTAATTATATTAATTAGGTTCTATTTCAATTGGGAAATGTCGGATTAAGACCATTCAAGAGAGAAATCGCTACCTCAAAAATTCAAGATCTCTACGGCGTTTCTACTTGCTCCAAAAAGTTTCACTGCAGAATTAAGCAGCTTCAGTTGTGCTTTTGTTGAGAGAGAGAGAGAGAGAGAGCAGCTTCAGTTGTGCTTTTGTTGAGAGAGAGAGAGAGAGAGAGAGAGTGCGTTCGACCAGCGGAAGTAGAAAAGATAAATGAAGAAGAAAGGGGGGAGAAAATGGAGAGGGCGAGGTGAAAAAGAGGAAGAATTAAAGCGGCCAAAATACAATTTTCAGAGAAATTCCTCAAATTTTTCATTTCTGGAATAGAAATTTTTTATTTCTTGGATTAATCCTACGAATGGTAAGCTTACCTTTAATCTTCTATTAATTTTTGACTTTTAAAACGTTTCACAATTAGTCTTTGAAGTTTTTTGTTTTAGTTTTAATATTTTTATTAGTTAAGTGTTAAATATTTAACAAAATTTGTATAAATTAACGACTAAAATTAAAAATTTTAAAATTTAGGAACTAAAATAACACACAAAAAAAAAAAAAACTAATGTTAATTTACTCAAATGGTCTTTAAATTTTTGTTGCTTCGAGTTGTGGTCCTTAATTTTTATAGATTCTATTAAATATTTAATAGCTAATTGATGGATAAACCGAAACTGAAATAAAATAAAACATCAGGATTAATTATGAGACATTTTAAAAGTTAAGAGTCAAAATAAGATTGATGATAAAACTCAAAAACCATTTATAAGATTAGCATTATTTCTTTGAAAAGAGGAATTGTATTAAACAAAAAATTGATAAGCAGTCGTCTTAGATACCAAACTGTTAATCCTTCAAAGGGTAAAACGCACACTTGAACCTTGAAAACAGGAAACTACCTCGGCATACTCATCTGATTAGCTTATTTCTTTTTGCTAACATAGACATCTGATATTTGTTTTTTTTTTTTTAATGGAACATCTGAAACTTTTAATAATTAGGGGTTACAAGTATTTTTCTTTCAATAACTTTTTATGTTTGATATGATCACACATATAAACCTTTATTTTAACAAATTTTTATCATAATTCATATCTTTATGAACATTCACCTTTTTTTTTAACATTTTTTTTTCCTTTTTATCCTTGTTATTTAAAACTTTTTACTTGGCTTCTATTGTGAATTCTGATGAAAAAGCATCTAAAAAAAATCTGATGCAAGGTTGAATATGGAACATAAATTCAAGGCATTGACCACAGAAGGGCGTGAAAAAGGAAAGAAAGGGGATGGGGCTTAACTAGGGCTGTTCATGGGTTGGGTTGGTACGGGATAGGATTTTTTTTTTCCGCCCCAAAGGGTGCGGGTTGCACATATTTGGCCCCAACGATGTTAGAAAAATTTCACAACCCAACGTTGTTCGGGTTGGGTTGGGGCGGTGCAGGGTGGGTTGGGTGGTCGGTTTCAACATTCAAAAAATTAAAGACTTAAAGTTCAATATAATATTCAAACTTCATCATTAAATAGAAATAGTAACCATTCTTATCAGTCCGGCGAAAGAGCGCCGGAGTAAGTGGGCAAGACGGCGGCCGAGAGGACTGAGCAATGAGGAGAGAGTTATGAGGGGGTTCACGGGAGGGGAAGAAGAGGGAAAACTAAAAAGGAAGAGGCAAGAAGAGGGGGTTCACGAGAGGGGAGACCGAGAATGAGATTGTGAACCCTAATGTTAGTGAGCCTAGGGTAGAACTTAGGCAGTTCAGCTTGGGCCAAAAGCTTGGGGGTATGTTGTGCGGGTTGGATTGGGGATTGCGGGTTGTTATGGGTCCAACCCGCAATCCGCCCCAAACACTTCGGGCCAGAGGTTTAATGAGCCGCAAATTTAAAAATAATGCTGCGGGTTGTTTTTTTCAGCTTGGGTTGGGTTTACGGGTTGTTCGGGTTTATGAACAGCCCTAGGCTTAACATTTGAAGCATGAGCTGTCAAGGAAGGAAGTTTGTTTCTGTCTAAAAGCAATCCGGCGTATGACCAAGCTACCAAGTACCAACCCACAATTTCTGAACTTAGTTTCCTATTTTGTCCCTTGCATTTCTTTAAGTGTGCGTTCTGTAAAAGGTTATATTTGGAAATTCGTATGCATAATTTAGTTGTAGATTTGTTTTCCTCGTTGGCAAAAACTTTTTTCTTACCAAATGCTCTTAATGTCACGTGTTACCGTTTAAGAACGAAGAAAAGTTAAAAATAATATCTTCTATACAATGTTATAATTAATATACTAATTATAAATTTAATTATTTAAGTGTAAAAAATATTTTTTAATACAATATTATTTATTGTGTTAAATTTTTTATATATTATATTTTGTGATAATTTTTCACCAAGTATAACATATAAAACATTTGACATTTCAATTGGTTGTAATGTTTATTTTTTTTATGTAATCAATCTCACTTTTATATTTTTTAATTATTTTAAAAATAAAAATTTATTTTTACAACTTTTAAAATTTAATAATTATAAAAAAAATAAATTTAACATTTTAAATAACATTATATATCAAAATAAAAATAAAAATAACATAACTTATCATATATTTTAATATTAAATATGCAAATGACGTTCACATTTAGATTAAAGATGGTCTAACGTGTCATTAACAGTAGAAAAAAACTGAAAATGAAATGCATGAATTTTTGCGTAACTTGCAGGACACTTATTAGTTCTTTCTTTTTTCTTCTTCTTTAAAGGCAAAATTTTTTATTTAATATATATTTGGTTTTCCATACGCATTAACCAAATCTTCCTCTTAACATCTTCTCCGGTGTTTGTAAACGCCGTTAGCCGTTAGGTAATTTTGTCGTAATACTGTTTGGTTTTTTATTGTTGCCTTTAATTACTTTCCACTGATGATGAAGACTGACGCTAGGTGAAACTCAGAGCTCTATTGACCCTAGGTGAATATTAAGACGTTTGATTGATGGATTTAAAATTATAATTTAAAATGTATATTTTTTATGAAAAAAAATATTGTAACAAGTCACGAACAATAATTCGAATTATAACATGAATTTTTAAACCAAACGCACACAAAGAACTCCGGCCTAGGACTTCTTATTAATAATTATGTGTAGCTTTCAGATAAATTAGACTAAACATCTTCTCAAATTGAAAACAGACTCAGAATTGAGAACAATAAGAGAGATAATTTAGTAAATTTATGATGAACTCAAAAAAGGAAAAAAGAAAAAAAACTGAACAAATATGTTTATTGTTCTTTTTGTTACAACAGATTTTGAAACAGATTTCTTACCCAAATTTACTTGAGACGTTTGAAAAGGCTTAATCGCAAAACTGGTGGATGCCTTCACAAAGTGGTCTTTCTTGAGGTTTTTTGTCCTTTGTAGCTAAGAGCCGAATGATCACTATCCAATTTTTATTGAGAAAGTAAGACATTTGATTGATGGATTCAGAATCATTATTCAAAATCATTTTCGATTTACGTGTGTTTTTTGTGAGAGAAAATGCTGTAGTGAGCCACGAATCATGATTCAAACCATGACACGAATTCTTGAACCAAACGCACTAAGTGATCCAATTTGGTCGTGTCTGAGTTGAGCATCTTTAGATTTTTCTGGGTATGCTCCAAATCGAGTCTGATCTCAGCAAGCTTATTCTAGTTCTTTGTAGCCAAAATTTCATAATTTGTTCCTGCCTTTTTTTAATTCTTCTCTTTCTTCTTTAAGGGTTGCAAACTCCTCTTTTAAGTAACTTATTAAGTTTGCATACTATAAGCCATTTGATGTACATCATCTTGTAAATCTCTTGTATCTTGCTGAGACTCAAGTCTTCATCATCACTTTTAGCATTGGAATTAGTCTCGAAATCTGTATCATCGGAACAACTTCTAGATTTTGTTGCAACAAATTTTGAAATGACGACATTAGAATTCAATAATTTATGACTCGGGAGACCACTTTTTACTATAAAAGCCACGTGATTGCTGATATGCTCTTCACCATCTTCATCACCTCAAGCCGAAGTCAAGACTTTATTTTTCTTCATTATCGTATTCCCACACTCAGTTTGAATATGGCCAAAACCTTTACATTATCGACATTGAATTCCTTAGTTCCTCATGAAAACCATTACCTACAAAACTACCGGTACACACCAAGATCTCACAAAAAATAACGTTAGTGTCCCGCTCTAATATCAATTGTTGGTACCGGTTATGTCTTTTTTTTTCAAGTTTGTTGTTAAGTTTGTTGCAACAAATTTAAGAAACACGTGAAATAGAAAAAGACACGCGCAATTTGGTATCGCAGTTTGGTAACGCCTATGAAGTTGCAACTACCCAATGGACTTGCTCAGCAGGCTCCCCTCGACTTCAAAACTGCACGGTGAACTTCCATCGACTGGCAGTGCGCTCTCTCCTGAAAGCTACAAATTCTTCTCCCAAAGAATGTTGGTTGAACTCCCTTCAACACTTCAAATCGTCTTCTCCTGAAGAACATGAAAAACAAATGCTCACAAAATGATGTACTCACTGGAATTCTATGACTCAAAAGGCGTGCAAAAAATAAGTTAGAAACTTTAGTTAAATAACCAATCACAAATGTTGTCAAAACCTCTTCAATGCAAGCCGCAATACTTAAATTGTTGCAACAATTTTTGCAAAACTGGTGTCAAAACCAATCTGAAAATTAATCACACAGATTCTTGAAGTCTTCCAATAAATGGAACATGAATCTATACGTGTTCCATAGAAGCAAGAAATTCGTCCAGATAGCAGAATCCCATCAATCAACAATTTTTTAAACTTTAAACAAATGTTGACTTTCACAAAGGAAGACTTTGTACAGTTTCCAAACAAGGTAGATTCTTTCCAAAAGAGTTCTCCAGCACATCACAATCTAATTAATCAGATTATCACACCTAAAATAATGTCAATCACACAATCAATCAACAAATCCAGAAATTAAATTAAAGTGGACAATCAAATCACCATAGGTGACTCATCAAAATAGGAAACCATATTTGAACAAAATCTTAAATCTCTTCAATGAGGAAATCTAGAGCAAATTAATCACAATATTCCCAAACAATTCAAAGCTGCAAACATTCCAAAATAATGCCCATTTAAAAATCCACAACAATCTCCCCCTTTAGTTTTGTTTTGGCAAAATATCAAATAACTAATGGAAACTGTTTCAACTAAGCACAACCAAGCTGAACGACACAACTCCCCCTAAATCACACAACTAATCTCCCCTTATCTTCACGACCTAACGCTTTCTTTAAAGAATCAAGAAGTTTACATGTTGCTTTTTTCGAGTCAAGTTAATTCAAAGTAACCAAATCAGATTTCCTCACCAAAAATTTTTGAACTATATTTCCTTTCAAATCATTCTTGATTTACAGTGAAGTTCTTGGTTTTGGGGATTATGGAGGATTAATTATCATGCTTGTTTTTAAAACATTTATGTACTTATAACACCGAGGTATAATATGTCTAGATACATTACAATAATGACAAATTAGAACAAATCCGTTTGTTGCTCTTTTTATTGTAACAGATTTTGAAGCAGATTTCTTACCCAAATTTACTTGAGACGTTTGATAATGCTTAATCGCAGAACTGGTGGATGCCTTCACGAAAGTGGTCTTTCCTGAGGTTTCTTGTCCTTTGTAGCCAAGACCCGAATGATCGCCATCCAAATTTTGTTGAGAAAGTAAGTGATCAAATTTTGGCCGTGCCTGAGTTGAGCATCCTTAGCTTTTCTGGGTCTGCTCCAATTCGAGTCTAATCTCAGTAAGCTTATTCTGGTTCTTTGTAGACAAAATTTAATAATTTGTTGCTGCCCTTTTTTTAATTCTTTTCTTTCTTTTTTAAGGGTTGCAAACTCCTCTTTGAGTGACTTATTAAGTTTGCATACTATAAGCCATTTGTTGTACATCTTCTTGTAAACCTCATGTATCTTACTAAGACTCAAGTCTTCATCATCACTTTTAGCATCAGAATCAATCTTGAAATCTGTATCATTAGAACAACTTCTAGATTCTGTTGTAGTTTGTGTTGCAACTGATTTTGAAACAACAACATCATAATTCAGTAATTTATGACTCTAGAGACCACTTCTTACTGTAAAAGCCACGTAAATGCTAGCATGCTCTTCTCCATCATCATTACACCAAGCTAAAGTCATGACCTTACTTTTCTTCTTTATCATATTCGCTCACTCAGTTTGATTATGGCCATAACCTTTGCATTCTCAACTTGAATTCCTTTGTTCCTTATGAAAGTCATTACCTACAAAACGACCAGTACACCAGGATCTCACCAAAAATAACATTAGTTGCCCGGTCTGATGCCAATTATTGGTACCAGTTATGTCTTTTTTTATCATGTTTGTTGTTAAGTTTGTCACAATAAATTTAAGAAACACGTGAAATAGAAAAAGATAGGCAATTGGTATCGCGGTTCTGTAACCACTTACTCTGCGGGGCCACGCCTAGATGATGAAGAATCCACTAAGTAAACAATGTTACAATTCAAATGGACATGATCACCTCGATACTCCCTCTCTAGGTATGACGCCTATGAACTTGCAACTACCTAATGGACTAGATTAGTGAGCTTCTCTCGACTTTAAAACTGCACGGTAAACTCCCTCCGGCTAAAAGTTCGCTCTCTCCCGAACGCTTCAAATTCTTCTCCAAAAGAATGCTTGTTGAACTCCCTTTAACACTTCAAATCATCTTCTCCTGAAGACTACAAATTCTTCTCCTGAAGAAGGTGAAAAACAAATGCTCACAAAATGATATGACTCACTGAAATTCTAAGACTCGTGCAGAAAATAAGTTAGAAACTCTAGTTAAATAGCAAATCACAAAAGCTGTCAAAATGTCTTCAATGCAAGCCGCTGTACTCAACTTGTTGTAATAATTTCTGCAATAGTGCTGTCAAAATTGATCTGAAAATCAATCAAACAAATTCTTGAAGTCTTCCCATAAGTGGCACATGAACCTGGACGTGTTCCTTAGAAGTAATAGATTCGTCCAGCTAGTTGAATCCCATCAATCAACAATTTTCTAAACTTGAAACAAATGTTGACTTTCACAAAGGAGGACTTTGTACAGTTTCCAAACAAGGCAGATTCTTTCCAAAAGAGTTCTCCAGCACCATCACTTCTCTAGCATATCACAATCCAAACAATCAGATTATCACAACTAAAATAATGCCAATCACACAATCAATCAACAAATCCAAAAAAATAAAAACAAAGTAGACAATCAAATCACCATATTTGACTCATCAAAATAGGAGATCATATTTCAACACAATCCAAAATCACTTTAATGAAGAAATCTGCAGCAAATTAACCACAATATTCCCAAACAATCCAAATATGCATACATTACAAAATAATGCCAATTTAAAAATCCCCAATAGTGGTCAAGATCAATTAGTTAATGTAACTTCAACATGGGGCGCCATATGTGGCTTATTGACTATAATTTTATCATCTAAATCAAACGCTACTTGATATGGGTTTGCCTTTCTTGGACAATGCTGTAGCACTTGCTTCACAAGTGCCGCATGATTTAACTTGTACTGTTGTAATCAATACCCCACGAACGTGGGGCCGTAGCATTAAAATTTGAGAAAAATTACGTATTATGTCACCAAAATCCAATAACTTTATAGTTATATCATCTAATCTCCCACTATCTTTGTTGATTTTTTTTTAAATGATATTCTACCAATATACTCTCCCAAAATTGGAGCCGGAGATAACGAGTTATCTTCATTGCGATGAAAAAAAATATCTAGTAGTATGTTAAAAATATCTTACCATAATATTTTGGGTTAATTTCACAAATGGTTTTTAAGGTTTGATCTCAATCTTACTTTAGTCCATAATTTTTAAAACGTCTCACAATTAATTCTTGGGATTTTACTTTGTTTCATTTTTAATCTTTCGGTTAGTTAAGTGTTAAATATTTGATAGAATTTGTAAAAATTAGAGATCAAAATTGAAAACATCTTAAATTTAGAGACAAACAATACAAAAACTAATCTCCACAAAGTCCCTAAGATTTAGCTCTTTTTAATTTTGGTACTTAATTTACACATTTTATTCAATATTTAACACCAAATTAACAAAATGACTAAAATTGAAATAAAATAAAACCTTAGGAACCAACTGTGAAACATTTTAAATGTCAGAAACTAAAATGAAATTAAGCATAAATCTCAAACTATTTGTTAGATTAACTCTAAAATTTTTTTGGTGAATTGAGTGGTACAATGTAAAGATTGGATCTTTTGAGTGGCATTTTTGTGTTTCTCCCGTAGAACTTTCTTGAGGAAATTGCCTGACATTTTATCGAAATACAAAAAAAAGCTTTACATTTATGCCACTGATCATAAATAGATTAGTAACTTTCAAGTGATTTGAGTAGCACTGATCTTAAGTTTATACTAATGGTGGCATAAATGTTAAGATGGCCTTATTTTAGTGGCATTTCTGAATTTTTTCCAAAAACTCTTTCCTTTTGGGCTCATTAACAATTGAGTTATTTCACATGTGATTTTTTAATCATTTTGAATCAATTTTGTTCGTTTCAAAACAATCTCTTGTTGTGCTAATACAATATGAATTCCCATAAGCCATAACCCTTTATTTCAAAAACAAGCTCAAAGAGAACAAATAAATCCTCAAGAGTCACTAACAAGGATGAGATTAGGCATTGGTGATCCTGACAAGAAGGATTTAATGAGTGTAAGAGCTTGTTTTGGTTTGTGAAGAGGGACTTCATGACCTGCACCTCTTACAGACACAAAAGTCAGCCCTTCATATTCTTGTGTCCAACCTCCAACCTGTGTTGATCACCATGTATTGAAAAAGATTGATGAGAAGAGAAATCATATGTGAATAATGTTAAAGGTCTCAATTTTTTCATATTAACTAATGTGACACGTGAGTTGTCATTTTTTTTTTTTCTGCTAGTGTACATTTAAAAATTATCACGTCAATTCATGTTAAAAAAATTGCATCAACCAATAAAAAAACAATACTAAAAGGCACCAATAGTGTCTAATGTTACACACTAACAGAGAGTAGGACCCACACTTGGAGCCCACTCTCTATTAGTTTTGGTGCTAATAGCCTAATACCAATGGTGTCCTCTACGCACTTTTCCTAATAAAACGATGATAACTCACTCACAACATGAATTGGTATAAAAAATTTTGGATAAAAGTTGGGATGTCTAGAACTACTCACCATATATTGGCATGTAATGTAATTTTTAAAAGCAATGCATATAATTTTAATTAGATGGGATTCATATAGGGCCCGTTCGATTCGCTAATTCGAGTTTTTAATTCGAGTTGAGATGTGATGTTGTGTGAGAGCTTTTTACTGTAGCAAAAAAGTTAGATGTGACTGTTTCTGAGAGCTTTTTACTGTAGCAAAATTCGAATTCTAAACTCGAATCAGCGAAAAGAACGGGGCCATATTGACTTTTGTTTTTTCTTTTTATAGTTAGATTGGAATTAGCAAGAGGATCTGGGAATAGATAACATTTCTTTCCTTTTATAAGGCCCACAAAAGTTTTTCCTAAATCTTCATAGTATCAGGATGATAGAGCCTAGACAGATACACTAATAAAAAGTAGAACAAAATTTGATAGACAAGAAGAAGGAAGAATCTGTATAGACAATTGCTGAAAGTTACAATGACTTGCGGAACTTCGAGGATCCATGGCCTCCCCTACTTGGAAATGTTTCTAAGATTTTCCCTTGTACAATTATTGAAACCTTTCCTACCTCTAACCGTGTCCTCCTCCTCCTTTTATTCTCATCCCTAAACTTTCTTAACAAGCTAACTAGGCTAACTAACAATCTTTCATAACAAGCTTCATAACAAACTAACCAACAATCTTATTCAACAAGCTAACTAACAATCTTGCTTAACAAACTTCTAACTCCTCTTAAGTCTTCTTACTCTTCCTAATGTAAACTTGCCTGAGTAAAGGCTTATCACAGGAATTCTGCTTATAGAGAAAGGCTTTAACACTACCGAACGTACAAGTTGCAAAAGTTCCTTATTCATAATCCATTTGACCGGTTCTATGCTTGAAGAAAAAGCAATCGTATTTTGCCGTAATGAGAGAAGAATTTCATTGCATTTATTTAATTTACAAGCTAGTTTTCTGAATTGTACTTACCTCCCCGTCGTCGTACCAGGAGCGCCAAGGGCTGACAGTTGGAAGCTCAAGAGCATCTATACTATACCGCGTTGATGTTATCGGTATTATAGCATCTGTATCACCACTGTTACACATGAAAAATGGATTCAGTACAAGAATGAGTAGGCCAAACTCACCTGAAATGAAAGAAACAAAGGGCTTGCTGGCAGAACGATTCTAAACACTGCAAAAAATTTGCGCAATTAACAAAGAAAAGTGCTTCCTTATGACAATCAAACTTATATATATGGTAGGAGATTTATACCAGTCTTGTGCATTTTCAAACATCAAATCACATCAAAATCATGACAAAAAAACTATGTGAATCTAACAAAACTTGATGAAGATCTGATAGCAAATTTTGAGTATTACCGGTAGGGTGCTTTTTTGTACTTCACCAAAGAATATGCATTATCTTAAACAATGGGAAAGAAAGTTATTTGAGAAATATGTAATGGTAATATCATTGATCGGGTTGAATAAAACATAACTTTGATTTCAATGGGGGTAAACCATCATTTTTTGAGGTGTTTGAGTGATACCTAAAAACCCATATACGAAGACCTGAATGTATCAGCTCATGGTAAATGTCAAGCACTGTTGTAGGAGAATCCTTCCAGGATCTATTTACCAATATACTGCAAGACAGGAAACAGAAAAAAGAGGTTACCAATATTTAGGACCTTCTCTGCTCCGAAATCCATGGAAAAATAACTCCAAAGAAGATAAAATGTGAAATGGTGGAAAATAGTGGACGGAAAAGTGTACACTTCCTAGAAGTCAGTCGTTAGATAATTGGGATTTTTTTTTTTTTTTGAAAAGAAATGAAGAATTTTATTGAAAATAATTGTAAAAGGAAAACTGGCAACAGGGACGAGGAGTTATCCTCCACAAAGCCAGAACAAAAATACAAGGCAATGAAATTGCCGTCAGATTAAAAACTGGAACTCTAGGACAATGCTATAAAAAAGGAGCCCAACTCCTAACAAAATCCGAAAACGATGGCCTCCCAAATTCTTTCTCCCGATATACCGACAATGAAACCCAATACTTTATCTTATCCCATAAAACAGACTCTTCTTCTCCTCTATCCTCAAAAATCCTATTATTCCTTTCCAACCAAATACCCCAAAATACAGCTGAAATTGCTGCCCTCTATAGTATCAATCCTCTTTGACTCTGTTATAACCCCTAGGGAGAACTCATCCCCAAAAACTAACTTGGAGGGTGCCCAAGTGGTTATAAACCCACATGCTAAGCCCATACTTTAGTAATGTGGGACTCAACCAGATCCTAACATACCACCACGCTTCCGACACCGACGTCCACGGCAGCCCACTCTGGATGGCCCACTCTGGCCTTTCCAGGTCGCCCCTTCCGCAACGTGGGCCTGAGGAGGGGCATGCTCTGATAACAATTGTTATAACCCCTGGGTAGAACTCATCCCCAAAAGCTAGCTCGTAGGGAGAGGGTGCCCAAGTGGTTATAAACCCACATGCTAAGTCCATACTTTAGTAATGTGAGACTCAACCAGGATCCTAACAGACTCAAACTCAATGGAGGAGCGAGAACTAATAAATCTCTGCAGTGGAAACGCATAACATTCAAATGTTTAGTGCAGTGGAAAGAAGATGTCATACTACTCAAATCATAACATGACATTAACTTGTCAATTGATTTAGCGCATCTGAAAAGACAAAGTCATAACCTAACCTGCCACAAATGACCTTATGTGACAATCCAGCTATAACTAAGAAACCATAACAAGACTCCTTCATTCTGTAGAGGTCCACCTAAATGGCTGGATGTCTTATTCAGGACGAACTTCCAGCATTCCCCGCACCCCAAGTAAAAATGATAAGAATAACAGCTCTATTGTATCCTCATATTCCTAATAAAAATGTAACCTCAGGAAGTGGACACAAACTGCTGATAAAATTTTGGGACATGTGTCTGTATAGCTTATGGAAAATCGACTCTACCTTTTGACAGAAGGGATGAATTCTGGTCAGCAGTAAAGATTACTTATGATGTTTAGGTTCTTTTAGAAGTAATTTGTATGCCAATGTAATATTACAATACAATTAAAAGCTTTTGGTTTTCTTCAATGAGTTATACCTGCAGGGATCCCATTTAGATGGCGCATGATCCGGGTCTACATGAAGTGCTGTTTGAACCTCGGGTTGATTGAAGTACACAATTGAGTGCTTCTCAGTGCAAGGATCATATTTCTGACTTATTCGACCAACCATCTATCCAATAACATGACAGGGAAATAATAACAATATATAAGTTCTAGACAAAAAAATTCATTGAGCTTTTACAATTATGCGTGGTTTTTGAGCAACTGAGGTTAAATCTTTTTGATACGAGGACTCAAGGATGGAAATAAGGTGTCTACACAGAATTTTTCAAAAATGAAGTCCCACAAGAGTGTCTCCAACATAGAGTCAAATTAGTGTACCAATGTCGTTAGTATTTTAGTAGTAAAACCACTCTCCAATGCACTGCTATTTCTATGCAAACTTTGGCATATTCTATAGCTGGTGCCAAATTTAGCACCAAGTATAGCATATGCCAAATTTTGGCATTTGATTGCAATTAGTTAATTTGGCAACAAGTATAGCATATGCAAAATTTTAACACTTGATAGCTATTAGTTGATATATTCACTTTTTCATGTTGATCACTATAACAGTATCATTTCAAATTATTTTAAATGTTTATTTTTACAAGTTCCAAACCTAAAATAATCTTGACAAACAGTAGATATAGCATTTGAAATAGCATAATGCATTGGAGCACAAAATAGAAAAGCATATTAAATATGTTATTTTCACCTTTTTCGATACCAGATGTCACATTGGCTTTTTGGCATTTGCATTGGAGATGGTCTAACTCATAGTTTGATATTAAAACTAAGAACATGAACAGGAAAGGTAACCATTAACCAAATATCTGAAGGGTCTCTATATACGGATGTGTAGAAAAGAGATGGCAAACAGTCTAACATCACATTCTCTTTTATTCATATTTTTATGCGAGTATTCATAACTGTTTTCTCCTGGATTAGCTATTCAAATGTTTTGAGAAGAACTAGACAGAACTAATTAATCTTGAAATTCTCCTTATGTTTTTGTCATACAACACTTATTTCAACTACTTAAAGATGACCAGTTTAGAAGTATACACTCACATGCATTCTCTTCAGCAGTTGATTTGACTGGCTGACATTAGCAGGGCAGGTGGGAGTGTAGATGCTATATGGATCGATGTTTCCAAGTTCTTCATAAGCGATGTCTAGAATTTCATCACATGAATTTGAGGTGTGTACAAATGATTGGGAGTCACACAGAAGGTTAAGTAACTTGTATGTTTGATCAGATATCAAGCCAGCGGACCACATGAATTGGAAAGCTCCCAAGTGATCGTTGCGATCATCAGTTAAAGCATTTCCCACCTGCATTAGATACATATCTCGGCTCTTTAGCTTCTCATATGATGCCTAACTTAACAACTAGGAACTTTTCCCAGATAAAGAAAGGAAACTGTACCATATAACCCTTCAGATTGATTGTTGTATCCTTTGTTGCTGAATTGTGCCTTACAATTGCTTGGCTGAGCTGAGGAACATAATGTCCTAGTACGCAGATTTCCATGATTAAATCACAATAAAAAAACCAAAAGTTGTAGTTAACCAATTCTCCCAAAAGCTTAAGCTAATAGGAGGTGGGCCAATAATAGTTTATATAATAAGACTTTCTCCTCACGTGTGGGTCGAACATCCCTGTGAGTCAATACTTAATAGAGGGCCCAACACATGAATATTTATTTATAAACCTGATACATATTAAAGGCCCAACACATGATGATAGGTGCTTGAACTTGAGACCTCCTGTTTGGATACAATGTTACCAATTCTCCTAAAAGCCTAAGCTATTAGGAGGAGGGCCATTAATATTCTAACAAGTTCTCATTATGTATGATTATATGTGTCACTATGTGTATGTTTGATAAAACCTATGAAACTAGAGATCGAAGACAAAAAGAATGCAGGTGATGAAGATTCATTTACCTGCATAACTCTCTCCTGTAATATAAAAGTCCCTTCCTTTGTACTGAGGAAAGCGTTCAAACCATTTCAGTAAACATTCAAGGTTGTCCTTGGCTGCAAAAGATAGGATGATAAAGTAATGTTGAAGCAAACCAACACAGAAAAAGTTCAAAAATTATGTATGAGACCAAAAACAAATGGTACTATACCAGTCCTTTTATCTCCATTGCTTAGCAAATCAGAGGATGTGTTTGAATACGAGAAACCGACTCCAACAGGGGAATCGATAAAGAGGATGTTAGCGACTGCAAAATGGAGAAGGCAGTTAGAGAAGAATTGCACTCTTCCCCTTGAAATGAATCTTTCTATTCAATAAAGGTTTTTGTTTATTATCAAAAAAAAAAAAAAAAGTTGGAGAAGAATTGCACTCAGTCAAATAAAGAGAATGAATGCGGTGACTATTTTACCAAATCTAATGCGCTCAGCCAGAATTATTTTTCACAGTCAAGTACAAAGAAATTACAATTTATTCATACTATATATTTGTTAAGTTCTTTACTATCAAATTAACCAATAAGATCATGTAAAGTAGAAGCCAGAAAAAGAAACTCGAACGGAAAAAGGTGCATACATGTTCAACAATCACGTGCTCAATTCAAGCAAATCCCCATTAACAATTTGTGGGGTGAGAAGTATCAGCTGCAACTAGTTGCTAATTTGAAGTATGGGAAAAATGATATAATCTCATGACTCGTGGATAGTAACAATTGAGAAAATCGACTAGAAGTCGAGAACACATGACAGTGTTCGCCCTTATGTTCAAGAAGCAACACTATAATTCTCTTAACCAACTTGCACCTAACTTATATAATTGATTGTGCTCACTCAGTTCTCACCAACTCAATAACGGTTAAGGTAATAAAAGAACGAGGTGCTGAAACTTGCATAAATCTATGCACATTCTGACATTCATAAACCGAAAATAAAGTTGACATTCAAAATTGAAGATAACTTTAAAAACACCAGGTAACTGCCTTTTATACCAAAAATAGTAAATAATCTTCCTTCAGGATTCATAATCAGTTCCATACCTTGATTCCAAGAATGCGGATTCAAATACAGTGTCTTTGCATCTGGCTTAATATGAAACGGGCCAATTTCCTCCGCTTCCCCGTAAGCAATTGATGAGCATCCAGGACCTGAAGATTTCATAATTACTAAACATAGCAAATGGCAGAACAAGAGAGCAAGAAGGCCTAGAGAGATAAGAGAAAGAAACAAAAGCAAAACAACTTATCGCTTATCGCAGGTTCGAAATGGTGGTTTGAACTTTTTTATTAAACTCAGCTTAAAAATTTCAGAGTCAAATAAACAAAGAACATGTTCAATACAAACACTATTATCAAGATAAATGGCAAAAGGAAAGCAGAAAACTCTTTATGATCCCAAAACTGCAGCTAATAATCAAACGAAACATTAAGAAGAAGGTCCAAAGGCATAAACTAAGGACAATTAACAAATTGGAATCTAGAAGGATTTGGACTCAAGACATTGGAATTAAAAAGGCCACTTTAATCTCTAAGATTTCTTTTCCAGGTTGAAAAAAAAAAATTATTGCCCAGAATCACAAACAGTACTAAAAATCAACACCAGTCAAGAACAATAAAAAGTGAAAAATAATATATATATATATATATATATAGAACTTTGAGTGACCTCCATTTAGCCAGAGAACGATGGGCTTAGAAGCAGGATCCTCAACAGCCTCAAAGAACCAATAGAAAAGGGCCCTCCCAGATTCTTCATTGACTGTGACATAACCAGAATAATGTTCAAAGCTCACAATGAAGTTCTGACCAGGGAGCTTCTCAACCCTGTCAAGCCTCTGCTGGGCAAGTGGGTCCCTCGAGAAGCTTGGAATAGCAATGCCCAGATGAAGTTTGACCACAAATATGGTGAAGAGTCTGAAAATCAACGAAGCCCATCTTGTGTTTTTGGCCATCTTCCTTTCTTTGGAGAAAGGAGGAGAAGGGCTTTAATGGAGGAAAATAAAATAAGACTAGTGTTTGGATTGAAGGAAAAAGAAAAAGAAAAAAATAATATAATTGGTGGGTGGTTCCATAAACGTGGATTTTTTTGTTTGTTTATTGTTAGTTTGGTTTGGCTGACAGCAGAAACATGGGTTTACTGGTTTTGCTCACGATTGACCATCACCATTGTTCAGGCTCTACTAGCGGGCCATGCTTGCTGACGATTGACCATCACCATTGTTCAGACTCTACTGGAGGGGCATGCTTGAGTGTTTTTTTCTTTTTTTTTTATTTTTTCCTTAAAAAAAAAAAAAAAAAAAAAAATCTGTAGAGTGAGTAATTTTGTTCCACCCGTGAGAACTGTATTTTTATTTTTTTATATACTGCGTTGTAAATTGTTACTACATATTTGTATAAATCTGGTCCTTAAAAATTAATCTAATTATTTAAAATAAAGAGTGTTTTATATGGTACTGGATTCTGCTACATTATTTTGTGTCTCATAGAGTTTGAATTTCAAAATTTTTTCTTACAAAGTTCTCATCAATAAATTTAAATCATGATTTAAATATACTTTTTAAATGCCCCAATTCATTCAAAACAGGGCTTACAACCCATCCTCTATCTTCTGTTGATCCTAGTTCATCCTCCACTAATGGTGCGAAATTTAGGCCTTGTTCGGCAGGGTGATTTTTGAGTTAAAAACTCAAAAAAAATTAACTCGAGTTATAACTTTATTCAAATTCATGTTCTTTTAAGTTTGAATTTGAGTTTGAACTCGAGTTTGGAACTAAAACTCGAGTTCAAGTTTCTCATTCAACTCGAATTCAAGTTAATAAACAGTATTTTTTCTATTCTTAAAAATGTTATAACTTTTTCGTTTTAATTCTGATTGAAATGATTTTTTTTTCTATGCGTTGACAACGAAAAGACGAATAAAACTAGACCCATATACCCTATTAAAATTTTTCATTAGCATTGAGTTTTTATTAAAATACTATCTAAAAACAAATTCAAGTTTTGACTTACTCAAAGACAAACTCAAAAAAGATTCTTATCTCAAACCATAACTCAAATGTACACAACCAAACACAAACTTAAATTACAACTTCAATTCAAGTTATAACTCAAACTCAACTCAAAATATACACTCAAATTACCTAACTCAAAAACATCAAAAGAACAAGCCCTTAGGTTCCTACCTAAAAATTTCCCTTATCACTTTAATATTTCTAGAAATTAGATCTTAAAACAATGAAATTTCTTTATTTTTTTTGCCCTTGGTGTTGAGAATTACAGTAGTTCTATTCTGAGGATTGATAATTGCTCTTTAGATTAACACAGTAGATTTCTTCTACTGGTTGAACTTGGTGTTAGAATCTAAAGAAGAAAGTCACATTCTCAAGCAAAAAAAACCCCATTTACGATAAATTCTACGTTGGGGGCACGCTATGCTTAATAAACACCGCATGATTTGAAGTGTACACTTACAGTCAATAACCCTATGAATAAGGTGCCTCAGCATAAAAATGCTCCTTCCTTTAATTTAGAGTCGAGTAAAGGATAATCTTAACAAATACTCTTTAAAAGTGCATGAGTCCAGATTTTTATCCATTTCTATTGATGAATAACTTTTTTAATCAAATAATTACACTAACAAAAGGGTATTAATCAAGAGTAAGGGTAAAAATTCAGACTCATGCACTCTTAATGGTAAATTCTACAATTTTCTCTTGAGGGGCAAATTCACGTATAATTTTTTAATCATTTTTACATAATATTGTTCTTTACTATTACAAAACAATCTCTTGTTGTGGTAACACATAGACATCCTCAAGAATCACTAACAAGGTTGAGATTAGGCATTGGTAATCCTGACAAGAAGGATTTAATGAGTGTAAGAGCTTGTTTTGGTTTGTGTAGAGGAACTTCATGACCTGCGCCTCTTACAGATACAAAAGTCAGTCCTTCATATTCTTGTGTCCAACCGCCTACCTGTGTTGATCACCATGTAAGAATTAACATTAGGGGTCCGGCCAATTTTTTTTATAGTAACTAACGGTGCTTGTAAGTTGTAGGTTGTAGCACATAAACATTGCCAAGTCATTCTTTTAAAAACAATACATAGATGTATAACTTTCATTAGTTGGGATTTATTTATTCATCTTGTTTTTTCTTTGTGGTTTGATTGCATTCCAGGAATGAGCCACAGGCTTTGGGAATGAATAACATTTCATTCCTTCTATGATTGACATGTGAAATTCCTTATATTCATTCCTTCTATGATTGACATGTGAAATTCCTTATTGATAATCCATTTGCCTGGTTTCATGCTTGAAGAAAAAGTGATTATATTTTGCTCTTGATGAGAGAAGAATTTCGTCACATTTATTCGATTTACAGAATGAGTTCTCTAAATAGTACTTACCTCCCCGTCATCGTACCAAGCACGCCAAGGGCAAACAGTTGGAAGCTTAAGAGCGTCTATACTGTATCGGGTTGATGTTATTGGTATAACTGCATCTGTATCACCACTGTCATGCATGAAAAATGGACTTGAGTACAAGAATTAGCTACTATTTGACAAAAGTCACCTAAAATGAAAGAAATGAAAGTGCTTCCTAGCTGAACGAATTTTAAACGCTGAAAAGTTTCCGCAAGCGAAAGAAAAGTTCTCTCTCATGACAAGCGAACTTCTATAGTAGAGGGTTTATATCACACACCAAACTTAAATCATGACAAAAGAAAACTAAGTAAATCCAACAAAACTCGATGAAGATCTGACAACAAATTTATGTATTACCATTAGGGTGTCTTTCTTTATTCTTTCAAACAATATGCATTATGGAAATATCACTGATAGGATAAGAAAAAATATGGTTTAAAAAAAAAAATCATAATTTGAGGTGTTAAAGTGATACCTGAATACCCATATACGAAGACTTGAATGTATCAGCTCATGGTAAATGTCAAGCACTGTTGTAGGAGAATCCTTCCAGGTGCTATATACCAAATCACTGCAAGTCGGGAAACCAAAATTTAGGACCTTATCTGCACCGAATTCCATTGAAAAATTGTGGATAGAAAAATGTACACTTTCTAAAAGTTAGTCGTCAGACAATCGGAATTGAAACCTGACATTCAAATGATTAGTGCAACGGAAAGCAGATGTCATACTACTCAAATCATAACAGTATTACTTCACAATTTAATCAGCTCATGTGAAGGACAAAGTCATACGTGAACCCAACCATAACTAAGAAATCAAAACAAGGCTCCTTAATTCTGTAAAGGTCCACCTAGATGGTTGGATATCTTATTCATAATGAATTTTCCCCATTTCCGGGCACCCAAAAAAAAAATGATAAGAATAACAACTCCATTATATCTTCATAGTCCTAATTAACAATCCAACTTCAGGTAGTAAAGGCAAACCGCTGATACAATTTTGGACATGTGTCTGTATAGCTAACAAAAATCTACTGAATTTCAATCCGCGGAAAAGATTATTTGTGATGTTCAGGTTCTTTTATGTAATGTTACAATGAAATTAAAAGCTTTTTGTTTTTCTTCAATGAGTTATACCTGCACGTATCCCATTTAGATGGTGCATGATCCGGATCTACATGAAGTGCCCTTTGAACCTCGGGTTGATTGAAGTACACAGTTGAGTGCTTCTCGGTGCAAGGGTCGTACTTCTGACTAATGCGACCAACCATCTATCAAACAACATTTCATAAAAATAATAATGTTGCATAAGTTGCTAGACTAAAAATTCATAAACACAAGTACACACAACACTTGTTTCAACTCCTTAAGAAGATGACCAGTTTAGAAGTATACACTCACATGCATTCTCTTCAGCAGTTGATTTGACTGGCTGTCATTAGCATGGCAGGGGGGGGTGTAGATGCTATATGGATCAATGTTGCCGAGTTCTTCGGAAGCGATGTCTAGAATCTTGTCACATGAATTTGAGGTGTGTACAAATGATTGGAAGTCACAAAGAAGGTTAAGTAACTTGTATGTTTGATCAGATATCAAGCCAGCCGACCACATGAATTGGAAAACTCCCAAGTGATCATTGTGATCGTCAGTTAAAGCATTTCCCACCTGCATTAGATACTTATGTTGGCTCTTTAATTTCTCTCATGATGCACAACAACCAGGAAGTTTTCATAGATTAAGAAAGAAAATTGTACCACATAGCCCTTCAGATTAATTGATGTTTCCTTTGTTGCTGAATTGTGCCTTACAATTGCTTGGCTGAGCTGAGGAACATAATGTCCTGGTACACAGATTCGAATGATTAAACCACAATAAAAACAAAGTCCTGTTAGTTTTCCGAATTTCCCAAAGGCTTAAACTATTAGGAGGTGGGCCAGCAATTATTTTGTATTCTAACACTTTCCCTCACATAAAGACTGAACAATGAGCAATCGTGTGATTCAATATTTAATAGAAGGCCCAACAAGAGAATTTTTAATTATAAGCTAAAAACATAATGAAGACCTTACCTGTGACGAGAAATTCAGAAAGTGTAATAATGGGTGTTTGAACTTGAGACCTCCATCTTTGATACAATGTTAAATTACTAATTCTCCTAAAAGCCTAAGCTATTAGCAGGTCGGCCATTAATATTTTAACATGTACTCTTCATGCATGACTATATGTGTCACTGTCTATATATTTGGTAAAACCTATGAAATTAGAGATCAAAGAAAAAAGAATGCAGGTGATAGAAATTCAACTACCTGCATAACTCTCTCCTGCAATATAAAATTCCCTTCCTTTGTACTGAGGAAAACGTTCAAACCATTTCAATAAAAATTCAAGGTTGTCCTTGGCTGCAAAAGATAGGCTGATAATTTAAGGTTGAAGCTACCAACACAGAAAAAGTTCACAAATTTAAGTATGAGACCACAAACAAATGGTACTTTACCAGTCCTTTTATCTCCATTGCTTAGCAAATCGGAGGATGCGTTTGAATACGAGAAACCGACTCCAACAGGGGAATCAATAAACAGAATGTTAGCAACTGCAAAATGGAAGAGGTAGTTAGAGAAGAATTGCACTCGGTCAATAAAGAGAAAATTAAAGTGACAACTATTTTACCAAATATACTGCAAGCCAGAATATTTTTCATAGTCAAGTATACAGAAACTGCAATTATTCATAGTATGTATTTCCTAAGTTGTTTGCTTAAACCACATTGACCAATAAGATCAAGTAGAAGCCAGAAAAAGAAACTCGAACGGAAAAAAGGTGCATACATGTTCAATCGCATGCTCAATTAGAGCAACAAATCCACATGATTGCTCTGTGGGGTGAGGAGTATGAGCTTCAACTAGTAACTACGTTGAAGTATGGGAAAAATGATGCTATCTCATAGACAGTTTCAATTTAGAAAATCGACCATAAGCAGAGAAAAGACAATGGTGATCGCTCTTATATTTACGAAGCAACACTAAAAGTTCTCTTAACCAACTTACAATTAATCTTATATAATTGATTATGCTCCCTCACTTGTCAGCAACTCAATAATGGTTAAGGTAATAAAAGAATAAGGTACTTAAACTTGCATTAAGCTATCCGCATGCTGACATTCAAAATGCAAAGATAACTTTAAAACTCCAGCTAACTGCCTTTTCAACCAAAAATTGTAAATGATCTTCCTTCAGGATTCATAAGAAGTTCCATACCTTGATTCCAAGAATATGGATTCAAATACAGTGTCTTTGCATCTGGCTTAATATGAAATGGGCCAATTTCCTCGGCTTCTCCATAAGCAATTGATGAGCATCCAGGACCTAAAGATTTCATAGTTACTAGACATAGCAAATGGAAAACCAAGAGAGCAGGAAGGCCTAGAGAGGTAAAAGAAAGAAACAAAAGCAAAACAACTTATTGCAGGTTCAAAATGGTGAACTTTTTTATTAAACTAAAAGTTTGAAAAGAGCGGTTCGTGGGGTTTAAGTTCTGATTCTTATGTCATGGCTGGTTTAAAACATCACACTATGGTCCAAATTGGGGCCAAAACTCGTGCATCCAAACACTGGTTCGAAATGGGCTCGTGGTTAAAACCACAAGAACCCATAAGCCACACGGCCCTAAAAAATTTCGGAGTTGAATAAACAGAGAACATGTTCAATACAAACACTATTATCGAGATAAATGGAAAAAGGAAGCAGGAAACTGTTTATGATCCCAAAACTGCTTCAAATAATCAAACAAAACATACTAAGGTCCAAAGGCATACAGTAAGAAAACATATTAGAGGTCCAAACATGGTGCCAATTAAGAAGTTGGAACTAACAAGGTCATTCAATCACTGAGGGATTTATTATCCAAATTATAAAATTAAAAAAAAAAAGAATCTTTGCCCCTAGTCAAGCAAATACAACGCAAAGAACAACAAAAGGCACTTGCCCAGAATCACAAACAGTACTAGAAATGAACACAGGTCAAGAACAATCAAAAGTAAATAACCCAAAAAATAAAAAAGTAAAAAATAAATAAATAAAATAAATAAAAAAGAACTTTGACCTCCATTTAGCCAGAGAACAATGGGCTTAGAAGCAGGATCCTCAGCAGCCTCAAAGAACCAATAGAAAAGGGCCCTCCCAGATTCTTCATTGACTCTGACATAACCAGAATAATGTTCAAAGCTCACAATGAAGTTCTGACCAGGTAGCTTCTCGACCCTGTCAAGCCTCTGCTGGGCAAGTGGGTCCCTCGAGAAGCTTGGAATAGCAATGCCCAGATGAAGTTTGACCACAAATATGGTGAAGAGTCTGAAAATCAACGAAGCCCATCTTGTGTTTTTGGCCATCTTCCTTTCTTTGCAGAAAGGAGGAGAAGGGCTTTAATGGAGGAAAATAAAATAAGACTAGTGTTTGGATTGAAGGAAAAAAAAAAGAAAAAAATAATATAATTGGTGGGTGGTTCCATAAACGTGGATTTTTTTGTTTGTTTATTGTTAGTTTGGTTTGGCTGACAGCAGAAACATGGGTTTACTGGTTTACTGGTTTTGCTGACGATTGACCATCACTATTGTTCAGCCTCTACTAGAGTGGCATGCCTGAGTTTTTTTTTATTTTTTCCTTTCTCAGAAAAAAATAAAAAAGTCTTGAGAGCAAGTTATTTTACTTCATCAGTAAGAATTATATTTTTAATATTAGATTAATTTTTCAATTGTAAGAATAATTTTGTGTGGTGTATAATAAATTTTTAAATAAATTTATACAAATCTAATCATTAAAAATTAATTTATCAATTCAAAATAATTACTCCTAACGGTAAAATAATTCTCAAAAAAGAACAAGTTTGGTGGGTGATTCCACAAACGTGGAATTTTCTTGTTTGTTTATTGTAAGTTTGGTTAGGCTGACAACAGAAACATGGCTAGTGGTTTAGCTGACCATTATTATTGTTCACTATCGTCAGACTCTGACTAGAGTAGCATGCACCACCAAGGAATATAACATTTGTTTTTCCATAAAAGATAAGGCACCAAACAAAATAATTGTCATTCGCCATCCTAAAAGAATAAAAATAAAAAAACAAACAAAAACAAAATTATTGCCAAATAAAGGTTCCATTAGAATAATAAGAATTTTTTGCTGAACAAAAAAAAAAAGGAGAATGAGGGAAATAAGCTAACACTTGAAATGAATTAAAATTAATAGGCTAATAATTTACATAAGTTAATAAATATGCCACATTACTATTTTTGTCCATAGCTTGTCTGGTTATGAACCATAACTTGACAAGTTATTGTCTATAATTCACGATTTTTATTCATAATTTGTCTGGCTATGAATCATAATTTGACAAATTTGTCCATAATTTATCTGATTATGAACTATAACTTGATAAGTTATGACATATTAATTTTTATAACTAAAAATTGGCTTATATACTTTCTTAAGCTTTTCATATCGACATATTTTCTATTATTTCCGCAAACAAAAAAAGAAAAAAAAAGGAATAATCAGTGTCGTAGTTTGTACCTATTTTCTGTGCTTTTTTTTTCTTTTTCTTTTTATGTTTCTTTAAACTACTTGTTTACTCAAAGTAGACTGGTAGATTATTTGATTGTGCATTTTTAAAGAGAAATTTCTTTTTTCTTTTTTAACCATTATGTTACTCAAAGGTACACCAATGGTTTATTTGAATTCTGTATTTGTATGGAGAAATTTCTTCTTTTTTCTCCTTTAAACCACTGGTTTACTAAAAGAAAAAAAGGAGAGGTGATTTCTGTTTTTACTTTTTCAAATCACTAATTTACTAAAAAAAAAAAAAATGCACCGGTGGTTTACGTGCTGAAATAGAGGGAAATGTGGACCTTATCACTAGTGGAATAGGTACTTAGGGTCTGTTTGGTTCATAAATTTGAACATAATAGTTTAAACATAAATTTAAAATTTATAAGAGAAAATACTATAATAAAAAAGGTTTGAACAGTAATCCAAACGTATACAACAAATACGGGGCTTAGCTTTTTAAGTATACTAGCTTTTTGTCCGCCCTTTGTGCGGAGTGAAATCCTATTAAAAATATTAATTTGGCATATAATAAAAGTATTTATTCACATTTTCACATTATAATCTATCAAGAACTTCTATCAAAATATTTTACTAACTGTGAGGACCGATTTAGTAGACTTATATTTTTTTATGAAAAATGAATATATATTATAAATTACACACATATATACAATTGTGGTTTTATGATAGTAGTATTTAAATAGGGATATATTTTAAAAAATATATGTATTTGAATTGAGAAATTAAAAAAATAATAATTTAATGAAGTTAAAGAAACATGAAAATGTATGTTTCAATTACAACCTATGTTTCTGTCGAATGTTGTATTTTCGTAAATATAATCGAACATATTAGAAGAAATAGTTTTATCTTGATAAATTAAATAGAAAACTATTTAGGGTGTACATATGGAAAAGAACAAGATGTTTATGTAAGTGCATATTTGAGCATTATTATTTCAAGTAATGTCTTTTTAAAAAACAAAAAAAACATATAAGAGATATTTTAAAACAAATCACAGAGAAAACTAATGAGGGTCTACATGTAAGAAGGAGAAAAATATTTGCTTAATGGTATATTCGAGGAAAAACAATTCAGTAGAGTAAAAGAGAGAGAAAAAAAAAACATGTAACCTAAAATATATAGAGAGAGAAAACTAATAAAGTAACATATTTGTAGAAAATATTTTGACTGAGAAATTAGAGAAGAGAAAAATAAGTTAACGAAGTGAGTTTGCAAATATATTTGAAAAATGGTAGACTGAGAAGAAACATAGATAAAGGTCGAGTATGTAAATATAAAAGCATTGAGGACTAAAAAGTAAATGCAAGAAAAGCAAAAACAAAAAAAAAGAAAAAAAAATTTGGACGAAACGCGTTGGCCACGCGTCTGCCCAAGACTTCAGCGTTTTCACGCTCTTAGAATAGGTAGATAGTAAAGTTTTACTAATCAAGTTGAAATATATATATATATAAAAAATTTAGAATATTTTATAAATAGAAAAATTATAATAAATTCCTGTATAATTTTTGCTATTATTCAAATATCTCAAAAATTACTATATTTTAACTGCATTCTCATAAACTTGTCATATAGTGTAATTTTTTTTTTCCAAAAAGAATAAGAAGTAATTACACAAAATGATCATTTTTAAACTCTATGTTTAGAATATTTTTTTTATTTTAACAATATTGTAAATCTGTCCATTTTATTGTTATTGAGATGATATTATTTCAGCATATCCTTGTTTATATGGATTATTATAAATTTGTATTATAATGATTCAATGAATGATTAACAAAAGATAATAATATTAATACGGGTTATTTTATAGACTTATGTACATTAATTTTGTCATCCTTTGTGTAATTACATATATATAATCAACTCAAAGGATAAAGGGGTAAAATCCAATAACGTTCCTTGAGGGGTGGTATAAAACCTATCTAATTCATGAAGGACATGTTTAATAGCTTGTATTGTATTGTATAAGGTATATTGTATTATATTATTGTAACGTCCCGAAATTTCAATAATACAAATCTCAATAATTAACAGTATTAAGATAATGAATTTTTCTGTTAATTCGTACATTTTAATAATGTGGAATTCTAATACTAAATAAAATAATTTGTTTCGTGACAATTGATTCAAAGTGTCACGTTTATTCTTACATGTAAATTCAAGTGATAAAAATTCTTGAATAAGAATATCTCGTGAATTTTAGTACATAAACAAAAGTGTCAAGACATATAACCAAAGACTATAATTCCCACTAAGATGGGATCCATAATAACAAATCATAATTTATTATTCCGTAATATCATAAATTAAATTCTGATAGAATATTAGCGAATCAAATAATTTTAATTATAACAGTATTTAAATTTCAAGACCCAATTATGTGAACTCATGCCACACAATCAGTGAGAGAAATTGATACTATCAATATGAAAGTATACTAATAGTAAAGTACTCAGATGCAAAATTGAACTGATAAGATTCTTATCAATCAATAGATGTCATAAGAAGGATTTCAATGCAATGGTTGGAATTTGATAAGAATTCAAATCAAGGGCTAGGATTTAATCTACCACTTAGGAAAAAAATGGCACTAAAGGTGGCGCCAATTTAGAGGAGAAAGAGTTTAAAAAAAAAAAACTTTTGTCTCTCCCATGCCATGTCATGTCCACATAAAAAGTAGTCATAAAGAATCTTTCTAAAATTAGAAACAAATCTTGGTTAGTAAAACTTCAAACAAAAATGGTAACTAACCAATGGATTAAGTGATAAAGTGTCATAATTACACTTAGAAATTTGTTAAATCTCTCTTCTCCCAAAGTTAGCAAAAACGTCCCCCTTAAGGATCTAATAGTAAAATTTTTCTTTCAAAAATGCCCCTCATTTGTTGGTCTATAAATAGGTCCAAGTGAGAACAAAATTCATTTTTCTCTCTTCTTCTTCTTAGCCAAAAGTTTGAAGACACTTTCTTTCCCCTCTCTTCTCTACTTGGCCAAATCTCCTTCTCTCATTCACTCTCAAAATTTTCTTTAATCAAGCTCCAACAATCTTGTTCCATTCCTTTTGATTTGGAGATCTAAGTGCTAGAGAAGGTTTTGGGCAAGAATCAACACTCTTGACCTAGTTTTTGTGCACTATTTGATTTCCTTTCAAAATGTTAAAGGTATACTCTCTCTTCCTTTTTAGAAATTGCCTTCAAGAAAAGATCCAAAGTGTTGGTAGAGGTTGTGGGTAAGAAAGTTTCCTCTTCCTAGCTTATTCTTTTCATTGCCTCTATCATCAAAAGTGTTGAAATATGATTTCTTTTTCTTAAAAGTTGTCTTCAAGAGGAGATCTAGGGTTTCAAAGGGATCTAAACATCCAACTCAAGATAAAAACCTCAAAAAGATCCAAACTTTGATTGACTTGTTGTGTAGAAAAGTGTTGTTATTTTTAAGTATTTTGCTTCTAAATCTATGATTTTGAGAAGTTGTTTAAATGAACATGAGGTGGCTGTATTTATTACTGTAGATATGAGATCTAAGTGGTCTTTATGGCATGAAACTTGGTGATTAAAAATGGTAATATATGACCAGATCCAAAAAACACTTGAAAATAAAAATGGACAAAAACACCCTTAAGCTTAAAAATGAGAAAATTCACAAAGGAGGTTCTAGATAGAGGCCAAATTAGGCGTAGGTGAAAGAAATTTTTTAGATCTAGATGAGTGGAGAAAATTTGATATTCGGAGGTTTTCCAAATTCCGTACCTATAAAAAGATATCGCACTCAGCGATTGCATTGACCAAACATTGACTGAGGATAAAAATGGTCTTTTTAGTGAGAATTAGCCTTAGGTCCATTTTAGAGTTTTGATCCTCATATCAAAATGAGCAAACTGGTAGAAAACGACCAAATTTGATCCCATGAGTAAAAACATAAATTTTCCCGACGTCAGGGGTCA